TCGATCCTCAAACGGAAGTCTTAAAGCAATTAACTACAGTGGAACCCCGTCAATGCGATCACCGTTGGGCTATAAAATCCTGATCGTAATAATGGGGTGGTCGCTTTAATGGGCGATTTTCAAAACAATGAAAAATTAAGTCAGCGATTTCTACGTTTGTATGGAGAGAATATGGTCTTCAACGAGGTGGTCGTATGGCGGGGCTCCACAATGTTGCTATTAAATCATTAAGCAAGTTACGTTTGTAAGCTTTTGTACTTGAAAATAATTCATCAGTGTACGTGCATTTGTGGTTGTGAGATTAGCGAGTGGAAAGCATGTCAGACAATACGGAATGGGTTTACGTTTTATAAAAAGAGAAACCAAAAGTCAGTCGTCTTTGGGTGTTCGCATTGCACAATTTAGTTGAGTAGAAAATAGTAATAAAAGGTATAAAAAAGTTGTAATCCATTTTCATTTTTTGTTTTGCTGTTTTAAGGCTGGTTTACACGTAGCGATTGTAGGCCCGATTTCCAAATAAAATATATGGTGATGCAACAGTTTTTTTTAATCTTTCCGGTTTTTGGCTAGTTTTTATCTTTTCGTTTTTCTTTCGAAAAATCATAGTGTGAAAACCGGCTTAAAGCCCTCCGGTTACAAAAGCAAGTTCCTTCTTCCTCCCGCCATTGTTGCTTAAGCTACATTATGTTACGTGCTGCTTGACTCACAATTTTGTAATCGCTCAGTGAGGAGGCTGCCTCTAATATAAATAGCTCGCTACTATTTTGCCGCAAGTATACGTTTCAAAAAGTAGGGTCACGTTCTCCATTATGTAACGTCTGGTACAGCAAAAATAAGTACAAAGATGGAGAGGCCGCCCCGAGGACTAACCCATTAACCCTTAACATATCATTTTCGACTGAAAAGCCGAGGTACCCTTTCGTATACCGTCTATTGACCTGAACCAATGCCGGCAAACACCGTAAACGCCGCATAAGTCCTCCTCTTCAGTTATGGGCCCATATCATGGCCGTAAAAACGAAAAAAATAAATTCGAATATAAGCCCCACCGGGTATAATAAACTCCCCTCTTGCTTGAACTGAATTGAATTCGATTTACAATGACGTTTTGAAGCCTTAATTAACGACCAGTAAATGCAAAAACATCCATTTTGATCGGCTTATTTCGAAGCGCTTTTTCTATGCCATCAATAAGCCCCCCCGGATATTAAAAGCCCCTCCGTTCAAATGCCTTACTAAAACCCCTAAAGAAGATGTATAAGCAACAGTTTATGGTAATAGTTTAAAACTGAAGACGATCTGTTAAGAATGAGCAACATTTAAGAGGAGTGGAAATAACTCGATGTCTGTGGGTTCATAGCCGTAAAAAACTGTTTACTTCTTGTTCTTGTTCTATTTTAATATTATTTTTAGTTGTGCGAACAATCATCTCAATAACGTCACAATAGTAGAGGAAGGAGATATTTTTGTACCTCTCACACATAACTAGCACTAACATCGAAAAAAACTCACCATGCACAAATGGTATCTTTAATATAGAAAACCAACCGTTGCTAAGAGAAATCTTTAAAGACCCTCCCATAATATCTTACAAAAGAGGAAAGTCACTACAAGATATACTCGTAAGAGCTAAACTATGAAGGTGAGGTCAAAGCAACAGCAACTGAGCCAAAGATAGACGTGAATAACCTGTAAACATTATGAACAACACAAACTATGAAGCTTAAAGGTCAAAGATATACAACAACTTGGCCAAATGGAGTCGTGTATGGCCTGGCAACATTATGAAACATATTGTCGTTTTCATGTAGCGTTTTAAAAATTGAGTTAATGAATTAAGTTTAATTTCAGTGGCTATAAAATTGCCATTTTTTTTTTATTATTTTAAAGCGATACGTCTTAAGCGTGCAGAGATATAGCTCATCAAAGTTTTGAAAATCTACAGACCTTTTTACGGGGTGAGGTAGGGAGGGGCGAAGCAAGTTTGTGCCACCCCCATCATACAAACGTCTGTAAAATTTTGCGACCTTGAGGACCTATATCTTGGCAATGTTACTCATTTTAAGGCGTTCTTTCCAGTGGTGCCAACTGCCGATATATTTTTCTTAACTTCTCCATATCAAAAGTAGACAGAAAGAAAGTAACGTGGAATAGTCTATCCTGAATTGTAAGAGGTACCCTTTTGGGAAGCACCTTCCCGTATCCCCGCCTTCAAGGTATAAGATATGGGAGTTTAAAAATAGACACACTGTCTAAACACCAGACACGTTACAGCTTGTTTAGCTGGTACGGTGGCCGATAGGAACAAAACAGAATCACAAAACTCAAAACAGAATCACAAAACCCTAAAACAAAATCACAAAACCCAAAACAGAATCACAAAACTCAAAACAGAATCACAAAACCCTAAAACAAAATCACAAAACCCAAAACAGAATCACAAAACTCAAAAACTCAAGGTAGCTGATATATCGGATTCCCACACGGCAATCATGTAAAGCAGTTGTAATTAGTTTTAGTTTTTAACTTAAGCTTAACTGATGATTTCCCGTGTTTAAATAAAGATTTACATACATACATACAACAGAATCACAAAACCCAAAACAGAATCACAAAACTCAAAACAGAAACACAAAACTCAAAACAGAAACACAAAACTCAAAACGGAAACACAAAACCAAAAACGGAAACACAAAACTCAGAACAAAATCACAAAGGAAAAAAGGCTCACAAAGGACAAAACGTAGACGCACCCTCCTCCCCCACCAATCACTCCCGTACCTTTTTGTCCCTTAGACTGTCGACTCCCGCCGTTTAGCTAGACGAACGAAACACTGACACGACTGACACAGTCGACACACGTGTACATGTGTCATGCCATCTCATTCATGGCCTATGATGTAAGCCACTTGGAAAGGTTTCCAATTTCACCGGAAGTAATGCTGTTTTTTTTTTTTTTTTTTTTTATCCCGAGTACGAATTTAATTTTGTTTTTTGGACTTTTCTCGCACACAAAATTTTGCTTTAAGCCTCAGAGAACTTTAACTGGAAGTCACGAAATGTTGTTGGGGTCGTTTCTTTGACTGGATGATAAGCAGTAACAAATAACGAAAGCTTGCTTTTTAAATTTCTCTCCTGCCTCCGCCATCGTATAGATCCCGCTTGCCGCCCTTTCTTCTCCCGTCTCCCGTCTCCCGTACCCCTCCCCCCCCGCCCCCTGTTCTCTCGGGCTCCCACCCACTGTCTCACCCACCAACCAAGACAGAAAATCACCGAGATTCCAGGGTGGTATAGATATTCTAAGGGGGTGGGGGCTCAACGCATTACAACAATTTCTGCTGAATTTTCTGAACTAGATAAGGAAAAAAAAAATATTATGATAACACACTGACAGAGAAACAATGCAATTATACAAAAGGAAATGCCTGCATTGCTTTTTGATTAAATTTCTTCGTTGGAAGATGTATCAAAACCGGATTGTGGGAGGCGACGAAGTGTATAATTTTGTTTTCGGCTGTTGTAGAGTTGACACACTCGTAAGTGTAGGCTGATCCGTCTTGAGAAGGCCAAGGGGCGGATGGGAGTGGGGATAATCGTCAAACAAAGAAATCGGATGCAGAGGACGCATGGGACTCTAGGGTCAACGAATGACAACAATTTCTCCTGCATTTTCTGAAATACATAAGGTAAAACAACTATCAAGAAAATACACCGAGAGAGAAATTAAACAATAATGCATGCAAAAGAAAATGTTTGCGCTTTGCTTTTTGATTAACTTTCTTCGTTGGAAGATATGTCAACCGGACAGGGGTAGGTGAAGACCTGCTTAATTTTTTTGAAATACACCCTGGAGCTTAATGGAGCCGCTAATTTTCTGATATAACATAGCCAACTTGGACTGAAGGCAAAGTATTATTTTTGGCGCTCTAAAGAGGAAAGGCATCGGTTACCATTAGAAACACAAAGTCGTGATAGCATGCATAAACTTTTGTTGCTTTAAACAATTTATGTTCTGCCATTTATTTTTGGAATGTTGATCTTTTGACCCTGTTTCAGCACCCTGAAGCGAGCATAAACAGAAAATAAGGAGATGCAAAAATATTGCCATAAAAGGAAAAAGAAACAAGCAAAAACAAACAAACAATATACAGGAACAGAGGATTTACTCAAAATATTTGCTATAAAATGAATGAGCACGTAGCACTGATATCAGAAAACGCTGTGTTCTCGTTCAACTCTCATTGCCATGGTTCAGTATTTCCCTGTTTTCCTGATTCTGCCTTTTTTTGACGGCTCTCTGGGAACAACCATCTCACCTCAGCAACAAAACGCCACAGAGTTAAAAGACTTATGCCAGGTAAGAAATGCATAAAGATATAAAAAGGAGTACTGCGCCGTAGATTAGGTACACCCAGAAACCGTTTTATTACTCTCACGTCTTTATGATCATTTAGTAAAAAGTACCCGTTAAAAGTGTATGGCAGTTTATTTAAAAGTTCTCGCTTAATTCAGCATGATCTTTCCTCGAAAACCTGAAGCCTGTCCATTGTTAGCTGTTTATTTTCTCTGACTCCATCCAAGTCCATTCGAGGCGAGATAACGCTTTAAATAGGATTATGATGCCCAAGGTCCATTCCGTGCCTCGAAAACAAGGGAGAAGGCTGGCGAGTACAGACTTTGTTCATTTTGGTGTGGAATCATTGTTTGCGATGAAGCTACGAGAGTGTATGAACGGAATTATCCTTTCATTTCCAAAACTAAGAGAATTAATTAGACATGCATAATTTCTTAAAGACAAGGTCCTAAACTGGTATGGATTTTAGAAGCCAAGTCTGAAAACGGGTGTTAAAAATGACGTGTTTTAGTCTGAAATAGAGTCAGTATTTGGAGAACCGGGCAGCAAACCCCCACCAAGAATTCCCAGGAGTACATCCAACCCCCTCCCCCCCCGAGTTATTTAAGATCCCGTGTCGTCTTCGTCTCTCCTAATCACAAGTCATCTTTACTTTCAGCAATCTATTCTGGGTTTCCCTGGTATCCCAGGATCAAATGGTATACCGGGAGTTCCGGGGGTCCCGGGGCCACACGGACCCCAGGGAAGAGAAGGTGTAAAAGGACAAATTGGTGATAAGGGATCGCATGGAATGCCAGGTCCAAGAGGAGACAGAGGGCGTGTAGGACCCCCTGGGAAGAGTGGACCCGAAGGAATTAAGGGAATGAAAGGTCATCAGGGACTTCTGGGAATGAAAGGAGAGCGAGGCATTGCAGGAATAAAAGGAGAGCAAGGAGCTGTGGGAATAAAAGGAGAGCGAGGCATTGTGGGAATGAAAGGAGTGCGCGGAGCTGTGGGAATGAAAGGAGAGCGAGGCATTGCGGGAATCATAGGAAGAAAAGGAGACAAAGGAGAGAAAGGAGAAAGCACCAAAGCAAGTCAAGCAAGTGTAGTACCACAAACCAACTGGAAACAATGTGTGTGGAAATCATTGAGCTCTACTAATAACGGAAAGATTAAGGTAAATAGATTAAGAATCATACACACACTCCTAAGAAAATTTCTTCCTTTTTAAATTAAAATGTTTCAAAGAAGAACGTCTCCCCTCTCACTCACCGCTTGCCAACACATTACACACATAACTAAATTACATTTCTCTCTACTTTGGTTCTTTTTGGAACGGAAAAAAAAAAAAAAAAAACCATCGCGCGTGATAAAATGATCAGACCATATGGGTAAGGACAACAAAAATTTAAGCTATTACAGAGTTTTTAAAAATTAGGAAGTAATCTTGACTGGAATTGTATCAATCATTACACACGATTGCTTGCATTACTACAATATGTTTGATTTGTTTGATTTTATTCCAGGACTGTGCGTTTAACAAACTGCAGTCTAATTCAGCGCTCAGAGTCTCATTCCAGGGAAATATGAGGGTCCCTGGTAATGCTAAGTGTAATCGCTGGTATTTCAAGTTCAATGGAAATGAATGCAGTGGCCCAATGACGATTGATGCTATTGTTTACCAGGACTGGTCATCTGGGAACCCTGATCTGTGGCATCATCGGTCATTTGAGGGGTACTGTGAAAACATTCCACAAGGGGCGGTTAGAGTGGAATTATGGGTAGGAAAGTGTACTGGCGTGACCCTGGGTGATGCTTTCACTGGGTGGAATTCAGTATCTCGGATAATGATTGAAGAAGTATCTAGGCCCCAGTCCTAATAACGGGAGTCTTGAACTTTGGCGCTGTTTTATTTCCTTAGAATAGCATTCTACAAATATAGACTGTAAAGCGCAAGGTGCGAAAGTATTGTTTTTGGTTATTTTTTTTTTTTCAGCCCTTTGTGAACTACTTTCGTCGTATATCAGATTGTCAATAGTAAAATATAATAACAGTATCAAGATTTTGTCTTATTATGTCGGCATGTTAGTCTTGCGCAGCAGCTCTTTGTTTTGTCACGTAGTGCTTTTCTAGCTTTTTTGCGGGGAGGCATCTTTCGTGACGACACAAAAACCGGCTGAGCCCGTAGGGAATTGGTCTTCCATGCAGCTGCTTTGTCTTGTTACGCACTGCTACTTCTCGTTGCTTGACGACACAAAATGGCTGTGATTAAGAGCGATTGATTGGCGATACTTTTTGTAGGTGATCTGTTATGGATGCAAAATATATCACTACAGCTTCAGGGGAACCCATTCTCTCTCGGGTTACCATACATACCATCAGATTGTCGTTTGTTTCCTACATCTATAATATGTAGTCAAAGTAAAGGTCGTGATATAATCTTTCATCTCAGCGAAAAAAAAAAAAAATCTGTGGAAGAGGTAACCTTCGCATTTAAAATGTTTTCGTCTGGAAAGTCTTAAATCCAATCCGGAAGTGAAAACGATTTAACTAAATCGTGCTTAATTAAATCAAAAGGCACGATTCCTTTTGTAGCCAAACCGCTTCGATGCAAGACCATTGTTAAAGGCGAATTAGATTTCTAGGATTAAAATCGCACCTTATAAAATTTATATCAATTATCTAGGAAGATGAATATTATGACAGAATAACTTGATTATCTCTAGCATACGTGGCAAGCGTTCGAAAGGGAAGGGAAGGGAATTTGGGAGCGAGACCGCGCGCGAGGGAGAAGCGAGGAGAGGAACACGCTCTCATTTCTCATTCCTCGCGCGCCCTTCCCGCTTCTCACACACCCAAAATCTCCTTTTCCTTCCCTTTGGAACGCCTGGCACGCAGGCTAGATTATCTCTCAAATAGTGGAAAAATGGAATGCTTTTATTCGTAACATTGAGATTCTTGTCAAACCTTCGCATTACCTTAATAACATCTTTGTTTTATTTCTTGCACGTCAGTTTAGTTTGCTTCAATGTGTCATGCATTAATTAATTAAAGCTTTCAATCATTGTTTCAATAAAAGACAGTGTCTTACAGTATGTATAAATCTTGTCCATTATTTATTACTTATTTTTCTTTTCTTATGTCGGCTCCTTAACAGAGAAATTTCCGTACAGTCTCACATTATCGATCTATCCAATGCAGCGACAGCCCCGTCTGTTCGAGTGTATTTATGAAGAAAGAAGTCTGCCATATATGGGCTGTATAGGTATGTGCCACTTTGAAGGGTATGGTTTTCAAGCAGTTTACTCTAGGATAGGGTCTATAAATCAGGGCGTTCGGGTCCAGAATAGGGAATCATTTCTCAGGAAACTGATCAGTTGGTTGAAGATTTTATCTAGACTAGGGAAACAGCTACTCTAGGATAGGGGGAATTTGGGGAGTTTACTCTAGTATAGGGTAGCAAAATTCAGCTGAACTAGCTCTGGTATAGGTTAAGGGTTCCAGGGTCCCAGCGGCACATGCCCACCCAAAAATTCCTAAAGTATCCCCCACCCCCCGGGCCCATTCGGGGTATCTGTTGTTTCTGTTGTGTTATTTTAACCTTCCTTTAAAGTGTTAAGCGGTTATTTTTATGTTTCTCTTAATTTAACGGGCATTTTGTAATTACCTAATTTGGCTGAATTTTGTGACACAGCTCCTTTAATAAATAAACAAAATGTGCCACATCAATGGGATGTAAAATGCCTTAACCCTTTTAATAAGTCATAAGAGTGACCAACACGAACTTTCTCCTAACAATATAAGCACAATCAAGGGAAGTGGTTATGAGAGTGTGTAAAATGATCACCATAAACAGTCTGGAGAATTTGTATGTAGATATTGGGGCTTAAAGGTTAATTCTCATCTTGACGCAAGTTACTATTTAAAACAATTTACTATTCAAGACAGTTCTGGCTTCTTTTCTTGTACATGTATAACTGCTACAGTTCGCGTTTCGTTTTTACCGTTATTTAATGGCACTATAACTGATGAACCCAATCCATTTACCAAGAGTTTTCTAAATGTACGGAAACTGGCTAAGCAGCAGTAACAATTTTGTTTCGAATCATCAGGAGAATGTTATTTTAGGCAGTGACTAACTGTTTCCTCTCGGAGAACATCATCCAGGAAAACTCATCGAGGATATATACAAAGACGACCTGGAACTTAGAGTAAGAGAACAATCACATTCAGTTTCACGGTTGTTGTTGTTGTTGTTTTTTTTTTTTCTGCCATTGATAAAACGCCGCCCGTCGTCGTCGTTGCTTTAACTCCCTATTGTTGTGATCTAGAAATTTTGCTACCATGGTAACGTGACGTCACATTTCTCCTCTCTATTAACATTGGTATCGCTTGATTACAGTGGAACCTCGATTACGTTCGCTAAAACGAGGTTTGGTTATATCGAGGTTCTTATCCATACGTTACACTGTAACTGGGGCAGAAAATATCGTTCGTTATACCGAGGACTTCGTTATATCGAGGTTCCACTGTACGAAAGAGAAAGAGAAATAGGCCTCACCCCTCTCCCCAGGTTTTGACTTTTGTCCCAATTCGCTCATTCTCATCCCTTTGAATCCCGCATAATCCCCACCCCGCTCCCCGGCCAATTCTCTCTGGAAGAGGTCCTAGTTATTAGTGGAGATCGAACAAAATGGCTCTCAATTAATTCCCTGTTATTTTGGAAAATAGGTAGAGTAATTGTTCAGCGGGGGAGGGGGGGGGGGGTGCATTTGCCCATCATCAAATCTCCCGTTCATCATTCCATTCACAGTCCTCTATTTTTCCGTAAGATCGTCGGGATCGAAGACTCTGCGTTAATTACGGGCGGCCAACTTGGATAGATAAACCCCGACGCCCGCTCCCTCGGGTTTATGTGAAACTGAGATAACCGTCCGTTCCGGTAAGCTAGGGCTCTATCCTGACGATCTTACGAAGAAATAGGGTACTGTGAATAGTCTAACTTCAGATAAAACCTTTTAATTCAAAATCCATCTCTTGTTAGAAAATTATAAATTGTTAGGCGGAAATGCTCTAAGATTTCTTGGATTGAAAAGGTCGCAGTTTGACGAAGACCCTGCGGATAAAGTGCAGAGGACTGAATAATTAAATGTTTTTCTGTTAGTTATATAATGAAGTAGCTTTTAAAAGTGAATAGACTCACGCATTATGTCTTTAAATGCATTTAGGAGTTTATTTATAATGTCCTTTGTTTTTCGGTATCTTGGTGTCTTGGGTTTTCAAAACAGTGTTAATTATTTTAAAAAATTCTTATTTATTCGTAACTATTTGTGTTCTTTATTTTAATGACTATGATATACATGTTAATGCGTTATTTAAAGAGGCTAACGATGGCTTTACAGCAAAAGTTAAAAATATTTATATTCAAGTGCAGAACGCAGTTAATGTTAAGTGCATTGTTACTCGATAAGCCTTGTTTCAGCTCAGTGAAGGTCAGTCTCGACCCTCAAACGGAAGTCATAAAGCAATTTACTACAGTGGAACCCCGTCAATGCGATCACCGTTGGGCTATAAAATCCTGACCGTAATAATGCTACAGCTTATTTCAAAGCGCGTTTTCTATGCCATCAGTAAGCCCCCACGGGTATTAAAGCCCCTCCGTTTGGACGCTTTTGTATAAGGAACAGTTTATGGTAATAGTTTAATACTGAAGGCGCTCTGTTAAGAATAAGCTACATTTAACAGGACTGGATGTAACTCCATATCGATGAACTTTGTGCCCGGCACGAACCATACAAACGTCCTATAAAATTTTGCGCGACTTTGAGGAGCTATATCTTCGCCACTTTTCAACAAATCACTTTCAAAGCTTGGCAATTTTACTAATTTTAAGGCATTTCTTTTCAGTGGTGCCAACTGCTTAACTTCTCTATATCAAAAGTTGACAAAAAGAAAAGAACGTGGAATTCTTGGGTTGCACGTGACGTCACCAAAAATCAAACTAGGAAACTATCGATTCTTCTGAGTTTCTACTTTCACGAGGTATTACAGTATCTAAACACCTGTACATAAACAAATTTTTGGTTCGAAAGGGTTCTTCGTTTTGCGAGAGAGGACGCTTGAATTTCCAGGCTTTTGCGTGACGTGGCATTTAGCTGGCGGCCGGGAAAGCTCTTATGTGGGTTAAAAACACTACCGATTTTGGGAGATATTGCAATCTAAACATTCCTTGTCTCAGAAGAAATATTACTGTAATCTTTATGAGTTCCTCAAGTGAAGAATTCACGCATTAGTAGGAAAACTGGAAAACAGATGTTTCTGTTAGTGTCCGGCGGCCATATTGGTGTTCCTGAAAGGGACACCAACATGGCGTTTCCATACAAAGCCTTATAAATCTAGGTAAACCGTTTTCCCCAATATCTCGCATTTGAAATATTTCACAGACCTGATTCTTGGCAAGGGTTTTTGTATATTTATCTTTTTTCATTTCCCAGATTCTAGTCCTTCTGTATTGAATGGTTTGCATTTTTATTTTTCATTGCGTGACAGTGCAAGCCGAGCATAGTCTGTCCTGAATTGAAAGATGTACCCTGTTGGGGAACCTCCCCGTATAGGTTATTGTAGGGAACCCCCACCCTCCCCCCCCCCTTTCCATCACTTCTCCAAGGTATAAGGTATGAGTGTTTAAAAATAAACACACTGACACTAGACACGTTGAGGCTTGCTTAGTTGGAGCTTAATGGACACGCCACTTTTTCTGATATAACAACGTAACATAGCCAACTTGGACTGAAGGCAAAGTATTATTTTTGGCGCTCTAAAGAGGAAAGGCATCGGGTACCGTTAGAAACGCAAAGTCGTGATAGCATGCATAAAACGTTGTTGCTTTTATAACAATTTATGTTCTGTGATTTATTTTTGGAACGTTCATCTTTTGACCCTGTTTCAGTACTCTGAAGAGGGCTTATAAGCAGGGAATAAGAAGATGCAAAAAAATTGTCATAAAAGGAAAAACAAACAAGCAAAAACAAGCAAACAATATACAGGAAAAGAGGTTTTACTTAAAATATTTGCTATAAAATGAATGAGCACGTAGCACTGATTTCAGAATACGCTCTGTTCTAGTTCTACTCTCATCGCCATGGTCCAGTATTTCGCTGTTTTCCTGATTCTGTCTTTCTTTGGCGGCTTACTGGGAACAACCACTTCACCTCAGCAACAAAACGATTCAAAGTTAAAAGACTTATGCCAGGTAAGAAATGCATAGAGATACAAAAAAACGAGAACCGCGCCGTACATTAGGTACACCCAGAAACTGTTTTACTAGTCTCATGTCGGTTATGATGATTTAGTAAATAGTACCCGTTAAAAGTGTATAGCAGTTTATTTAAATGTCCTCGCCTCAGCATGATCTTTCCTCGAAAACCTGATGCCTGTGCATTGTTAGCTGTTAATTTTCTCTGATTCCATCAAAGTCTATTCGAGGCGAGATAACACTAGCTTTAAATAGGATTATGATGTCCAAGGTCCATTCCGTAACTCGAAAACAAGGGAGACGGCTGGCAGGTACAGACTTTGGTCATATTGGTGTGGAATCATTGTTTGCGAGGGAGCTACGGGCGTGTATGAACGTATTTATCGTTTCAATTCCAAATGAGAAGGAGAGAGAAATAATTATGCGAATTCTTTTTCGTTGCTGTTCTTAATCTAAGTAATGGTGACATGCATAATTTTTAGAGGAAAGGTCTGAAAACTGGTATGAATTTTATAGTCTGAAAACGAGTGTAAAAATGACGTTTCTGAAAAAGAGTCAGGATTTAGGGAACCGGGCGGCACATCCCCACCAAAAATTCCGAGGAGTACATTCCCCCCTCCCCGAGTCATTTAAAATCGTCTCTGCTTATTGCAAGTCATCTTTACTTTCAGCGATCTATGATGGGTTTCCCTGGTATTCCAGGATCAAATGGGATACCGGGAGTGCCGGGGGTCCCGGGGCCACACGGACCCCCTTTTGAAGGAGTAAAAGGACAAATTGGTGATAAAAGATCACAAGGAATGCCGGGTCCAAGAGGAGACAGAGGGCGCGAAGGACCCCCTGGGAAGAGTGAACCCCGAGGAATTAAGGGAATGAAAGGTCAACAGGGACTTCCGGGAATGAAAGGAGTGCGCGGAGCTGTCGGAATAAAAGGAGAGCGAGGCATTGTGGGAAATCCAGGAAGAAAAGGAGACAAAGGAGACAAAGGAGAAAGCGCCAAAGCAAGTCAAGCAAGTGTAGTACCACAAACCAACTTGAAACAATGTGTGTGGAAACGAGACACCAGTACTAATAACGGAAAGATTAAGGTAATTAGAATAAGAATCATAACACACTCCAAACGAAAGTAATTCCTCTCTAAATCAAAATATTTCAAAGGCGAACGTCTACCTTCTAACTCACCATTTGCCAACACATAACATAAATAACTAAGTTACATTTCTCTCTACTTTGGTTCTTTTTGAACGAAAAAAGGGAAAACAATCTTGGGTGATAAAATGATTCCTGGCCATAAGGACAACGAAAATTGAAGCTATTACAGAGTTTTTAAAAATTACGAAGTAATCTTGACTGGAGTTGTTAGTATCAATTATTACACACTGTTGCTCGCCTTGCTACAATATGTTTGATTTGTTTGATTTTATTTTAGGACTGTGCGTTTAACAAACTGCAGTCTAATTCAGCGCTCAGAGTCTCATTCCAGGGAAACATGAAGGTCTATGGAAGTAGTTAGAAGTGTAACCGATGGTATTTCAAGTTCAATGGAAATGAATGCAGTGGACCAATGACGATTGAGGCTGCTGTTTACAGCTGGTGGCCATCTGGGAGCCCTAATCTGCTGCATCATCGGACATTTGCGGGGTACTGTGAAAACATCCCACAAGGCGCTGTTAGAGTGGAATTATGGGTAGGACAGTGTGGTCGCAGCTACACCTTGGTTGATGCTGAAACTGGGTGGAATTCAGTTTCCCGGATAATGTTTGAAGAAGTATCTAGGTCCCAGTCCTAATAAGGGGAGTCTTGAACTTTGGCGCTGTTTTAATTTCCTTAGAATAGCATCCTACAAATATAGACTGCAAAGCGTATGGTGCGAAAGTATTGTTTTTTTTAATTTATTTTTTATTTATTTATTTATCTTCTTTTTTGCCCTTTGTGGCTACTTTCGTCGTATTAGATTGTTAATAGTAAACTTCAGGAGCCTAGGATCCAGTAAACTCTTGCTTATAACAGTATTAAAAATTTGTATAATTATGTAGGCAGGGGGCGTCACAATCAATTGGGAACTTTAATCACCCCTGCAGTGCTGTATGGGTCAGTTTTCCTTTTTGTTAGTTCAATAACGACACAGCAGTTCAATAAATACACAACAGATCAATAACCACACCAGTAGTTCAATGACTACACATTAGTTCATTGAGCGTAAACTACATGCAGCTGCGGGAAGAATACCCTTTCGGCGCTGACTCTCTTTCCACGTCTGTTCACTGTGCCCCTGATGAGAATGACAGACCTTCTGAGCGGACTAAAAATTTTAAAATAACATCAGTCTATGTTCCCGTCTATATTAGTGAGCTCACTACAACTTAATAACAGTGTAACATAGCTATTTATCTATTTAGTTCTCGTACCATAGCTAAATGAGTATTTACCACTTACTTAATGCTATGCATTCTTATTAAAAAATAACTAACGTTTTTGTGGCTATTCTTCCCGCAGCTGCATGTAGTTTACGCTCAATGAACTGATGTGTAGTCATTGAACTACTGGTGTGGTTATTGATCTGCTGTGTACTTATTGAACTGCTGTGTCGTTATTGAACTAACAAAAAGGAAAACTGTGCTATTGAATCCATATACTAGGCTATTCTGGTATATGGCAACCATGTCTCTCCCTTAAACTGCCCGCTGTGCGCCAGATCTGTCAGCTTGTTCACGGCTGCAGAGGGTCATTGCACTCGTGCGACAGGCATCCTTTTGGTTGCTTGTAAAATCAGATAGGGATGTTTATGGGCGGGGTATCATGGTTGTAAAACCCCCGTCATAACTCATTATTATTGTTATTTAAATAATTGTTTGTGTGTTTGTATGTCACCTTCATCACATTTATTTATTTATTTATTTATGTATTTTTTGGCTTAGCCCATAATGGAAATGGTTAACTAAAACAATGCTGTTCTTTTTTTAAAGACATAATCTTTATGTGATTTAATTCTATATCTTCTTTGGAATAAGAAAACCGAACTAGTGAGAAAAAGGCCTCACTTGGACACTAGGATTACTGTGACGTAACTCCTTCAAGTTGCGCGCGAAAGTTCACGGCGGTTGCCGGTTAACATTTGAAGAAATTGCGCGTGATATGAAATAGCGTAAGCCATCGAGTGAAGAAAACAAAGTGCAGTCATCCTACCAGTTGTTTTTATTCAAGCTGTGGTGAGTTAGACGCATTTGAAACTTTATTTCTAATTCGTTTTGGAAAGAAAATTGTTGGTACCTTGCTGAGGCATCGCCTGCAATTGTTATGATCTCTTATTTGCACAGACATTATCATATCGATAGCAGAATTTTGAAATATGGTCAGGAAACGAGCAGCTGCCTTTCAATTTTGAAACAACCAAGAAAGTTAGAAGTTCAGGACTTGTACGGTAAAAATAACTATTTTTAAACATAGATTGATGGTAGTCAACTCAAGCACGTAGGGCCAGCTGTGGTACCACGGTTTGAAACGTGCGGAAAGAGAGTCCAAAAACAAGATTTCATCCACGGTTAACTGTATTTTTTTCTGCTTTATTAACGCGCGTGTTCGGGTTATTTAGTTGAAGTTTTCTCCGGGCCAAGTTGGCTTTACCCTTTCGGCGCTGACTCTCTTTCCAGGTCTGTTCACTGTGCCCCTGATGAGAATGACAGACCTTCTGAGCGGACTAAATTTTTTAAAATAACATCAGTCTATGTTCCCGTCTATATTAGTGAGCTCACTAGAACTTAATAACAGTGTAACATAGCTATTTATCTTTTTAGTTCTCGTACCATAGCTAAATGAGTATTTACCACTTACTTAATGCTATGCATTCTTATTAAAAAATAACTAACGTATTTGTGGCTATTTTTCCCGCAGCTGTATGTAGTTTACGCTCAATGAACTGATGTGTAGTCATTGAACTACTGGTGTGGTTACTGATCTGTTGTGTACTTATTGAACTGCTGTGTCGTTATTGAACTAACAAAAAGGAAAACTATGCTGGGTTTCCCTGGTATTCCAGGATCAAATGGTATACCAGGAGTGCCGGGCGTCCCGGGGCCACACGGACCCCAGGGAAGAGAAGGTGTAAAAGGACAAATTGGTGATAAAGGATCTCGAGGAATGCCGGGTCCAAGAGGAGACAGAGGGCGCGAAGGACCTCCTGGGAAGAGTGGACCCCGAGGAATTAAGGGAATAAAAGGTCAACAAGGACTTCTGGGAATGAAAGGAGAGCCAGGCATTGTAGGAATGAAAGGAGAGCAAGGAGCTGTGGGAATGAAGGGAGAGCGAGGCATTGTGGGAATGAAAGGAGTGCGTGGAGCTGTGGGAATGAAAGGGGAGCGAGGCATTGCGGGAATGAAAGGAGTGCGTGGAGCTGTGGGAATGAAAGGGGAGCGAGGCATTGTGGGAATGAAAGAACAGCGAGGCATTGCGGGAATAAAAGGAAGAAAAGGAGACAAAGGAGAGAAAGGAGAAAGCGTCAAAGCAAGTCAAGCAAATGCAGTACCACAAACCAACTGGAAACAATGTGTGTGGAAATCACTCAGCGGTACTGATAACGGAAAGATTAAGGTAAATAGAATAAGAATCGTAACACACTCCTAAGAAAAATTGTTCTTTTTTGAATTAAAATGTTTCAAAGAAGAACGTCTCCCCTCTCACTCACCGTTTGCCAACATATTACATAAATAACTATTTAGTTACATTTCCCTCAATTTTGGTTCTTTTTGAACGAAAAAAAGAAAAACCATCGTGCTTGATAAAATGATTCCTGGGCATATGGATAAAGACAAGAAAAATTTAAGCTATTACTGAGGTTTTAAACATTAGGAAGTAATCTTGACTGGAGTTGTTAGTATCAATCATCACACACGGTTGCTCGCCTTAGCACAACAAGTTTGATTTGTTTGCTTTTATTCCAGGACTGTGCGTTTAACAAACTGCAGTCTAATTCAGCGCTCAGAGTCTCATTCCAGGGAAACATGAGGGTCAATGGTAATGTTAAGTGTAATCGCTGGTATTTCAAGTTCAATGGAAATGAATGCAGTGGCCCAATGACGATTGATGCTATTGTTTACCTCGACTGGTCATCTGGGAACCCTGATCTGTGGCATCATCGGTCATTTGAGGGGTACTGTGAAAACATTCCACAAGGGGCGGTTAGAGTGGAATTATGGGTAGGACGGTGTAGTGGTCAAACCCTGGGTGATGCTCACACTGGGTGGAATTCAGTATCTCGGATAATGATTGAAGAAGTATCTAGGCCCCAGTCCTAATAACGGGAGTCTTTAACTTTGGCGCTGTTTTATTTCCTTAGAATAGCATTCTACAAATATAGACTGTAAAGAGCAAGGTGCGAAAGTATTGTTTTGGTTATTTTCTTTTCAGCCCTTTGTGAACTACTTTCGTCGTATATCAGATTGTCAATAGTAAAATATAATAACAGTATCAAGATTTTGTATTATTATGTCGGCATGTTAGTCCTGCGCAGCAGTTCTTTGTTTTGTCCCGCAGTGCTTTTCTAGCTTTTTTGCGGGGAGGCACCTTTCGTGACGACACAATAACTGGCTGAGCCCGTAGGGAATTGGTCTTCCATGCAGCCGTTTGTCTTGTCACGCACTGCTACTTCTCGTTGCTTGACGAGACAAAGTGGCTGTAATTAAGAGCGACTGATATTGGCAATACTTTATGTACGTGATATGTTATGGATGCAAAATTTATCACTACAGCTTCAGGGGAACCCATTCTTTCTCGGGTTACCATGTATATCATCCGATTGTCTGTCGTTTCGTAAGTCTATAATATGTAGTCAAAGTAGAGGTCGTGATATAATCTTTCATCTGAACGATAAAAAAAAAAACAAACAAACAAACAAACAAAAAAAAAGTGTGCGGAGGAGGTAACCGCATTTAAAATCTTTAATCCAATCCGGAAGTGAAAACGATTTAATCAAATCGTGCTCAAACGGCACGATTCCTTTTGCAGCCAAACCGCTTTGTGGCAAGACCATTATCAAAAGCGGATTAGATCTCGAGGATTAAAATCGCACCTTGTAAAATTTATATTAATTAGCTAGGAAGATCAATTTGATGATAGAATAACTTGATTATCTCTAACATACGTGGCAAACGTTCGAAAGGGAGGAGAAGGGAATTTAAGAGCGAGACCGCGCGCGAGGGAGAAGCGAGGAGAGGAACGAGTTCTCCATCCTCATTCCTCGCGCGCCCGCTTCACGCTTCTCGCGCACCCAAAATCTCCTTTTCCTTCCCTTTGGAACGCCTAGCACGCAAGCTAGATTATCTCTCAAACAGTGGAAAAATGGAATGTTTTTATTGTAACATTGAGATTCTTGTCAAACCTTCGCATTACCTTAATAGCATCTGTGTTTTATTTCTTGCATGTCAGTTTAGTTTGCTTTAATGTGTCAGGCATTAATTAATTAAAGCTTTCAATCATTGTTTCAATAAAAGACAGTGTCTTACAGTATGTACAAATCTTGTCTATTAGTTTTCTTAACAAACAAGATTGAACTCCTTATGTCCGCTCCTAACAGAGAAATTGCCGTGCAGTCTCACAATATCGATCTATCCAATGCAGCTATTTGCAGCCCTGCCTGTTCGAGTGCATTTATGAAGGAAGGAGTAGCTTGAAGTTCCCAGAGTTTCTTAACTTAGAAATCTTTGGATACCTAAATCATCAGTGCCGTATGGGTATACCCAGTAGGGGATACCGTATAGGTATACCCGATAGGGGATACCGTATGGGTATTCCCGGTTCGATCCCGGTAGAGGATGCCCATACAGCAAGTTATATCAAGTTAAGTTCTGCCGGACCGTCGCAGCACGAACTTCCGTCAAGAGTACAATTCCAATTAATTAGCAAGTCTTTTATTGCTTTGAACGTTTTTATTCCAAAGTTTAACTACTTTATCCTTTTCTGTGTTTTTTATGGTTTCCTTGAAAATACTGACACTTTTGTCTTAGCCTGATAGCAACTGATCGACCTTTGGAGAGTTATCTTTTTTAGCATCCTAACCAAAAAAATACGTTTCCTCTATGTTTCAGCCGAAGGTGAACTAATAAAAGGTTAAAATAGCCAAAAAAAAACAAAAACAAAACAAAACAAAAAAAAAAACAGGGACCTATAATAAAAAGTACAAACGTAAAACAAGTGTCCACCCTGCACCGACCCATAGGAACTCCTCTGATTTTTTATATGGGTTGGAGGATACCTAAGACGTTGGCGAACAGGACGTTATCGAAACCACTCATGATGCCAAACTTTTCATGAGCCGAACCTGATACATTGAATAAAGTACATGAAAAGTTCGGCGTCATGAATCAATTAGGAACGCCTGGTTCAATTTGACACAGCTTAGCCGTTTTTTTTGCCTAGCCTGGCTGAGAATTTCGCCTCTGGAGCGACTTTGGAAAGGCTTTGAATCAGACGCCGAACTTTTCATGTATCGAACCTAATGCATAAATTATTTTACGTATTTTGTAAGCTGTTTGACCGAAATGAGCATTTTTAGCCTTTTGAATTTAGTTCAGCCGAAATTAAGATCGGCGTGTTTGAATCAATTCAGCTGGTCTAAATAATTGGCATGGGTCGGCCTTAATTCGAATTAGGTTCGGCTTATGAAAAGTTCGGCGTCTGAACCGGGCCTAAGACGGCCCCTTTTGTCGCATCCAACAGTGTCTGTGCGAGTTAACTGTATTGTAGCAGTGTTTAATTTATTTTGTTAGATGTATTATGTATAATCTCACAATACTTTCTACTATCTAGACTACAAACAGAACTCGGGGGAGGGGAGCTTGGTACTTCCTAAAAAGAGGCTAATGGGGATGTGACGCTGGATGGGGTCGCATTTTCACAAATGGATTGACTACAACGAGGTTGCATATGTTTTCAATATAGTTACTAGAATGGGTTCGCACATTTTTGCATTTTTTGGGGTAAGACGTCTTCATATTAACTGCTAGCAAACGTACCGGGATGTTTGTACTGTAGGTGAAAATTAAAGTGTTCTTCATTCGGTTTGAAAAAATGGGTCAATTCATAAAAATAGAAAGTGACTAAGTTGGGATCGCAAAAATTACATATTTGCCCAAAAGTGACTAAGATGGGGTCTATAATTGGTCACAAAATAGACTATAATGGGGTAGGGGCTCTGAGAGGCCGGGGCCACATACCCAGCAAAAATTTACTCAAGGATCCCCCACTCCCACCCCCCTCCCCCACCCCACATGAAACAGAACCTTCATGTATCATTCGTTATAATACTGAATGTTGCAGAAAGTACATTGGTCAAATTTATACAGATAGTCTTGTCCATGATGAAAAAGCTCTTTAATTACTGGTTGACACTATTGGTCAGGTAAAGAGTTCAGTGACTTTTTGGTTATGATCTATCTAATACACAATGAAATTTATGCAAGCAAAAATTAACAAGACGTGTACTTAAAGGGGGTTATGTCACGCTATTTGCTATCGTCTGTCTTTGCATCAATTGAATTCTAAAAGTGACGGTCCAGGTTTGTTATTTCAGACCATATTGTGTAGGCATTGAAACCGGTTCCTGTCGTCTGTTTCTACGAACGGCAAGGATGTCTGTCGATTGAAACTTAGTTTTGATGCCATGCCAGCAAAAATCACTAGAAAATATTCTCGTTAGTGCTCTCTGATGAAATTTGTTTGATTTATATTTTCCGCTCACTGTAAAGGAGCATTTTGTGTATAGGTAAAAGTACTAATTAACGACTTCAGCTCAGAATTGGCCTAAAACAGCAATAACCCGCTGACGTAGCCCCTTTAATAAATAGACAAAATGTGCCATATCAATGGGATGTAAAATGTCTTAACCCTTTTAATAAGTCATAGGAGTGACCAACATGAACTTTCTCCTAACAATATCAGCACAGTCAAGGGAAATGGTTATGAGAGTTGATAAAATGATCACCATAAACAGTGTGGAGAATTTGTATGTAGATATTGGGGCTTAAAGGTTAATTCTCATCGCAACAAAGACGTAACTTACTATTTAAAACAGTTATGGCTTCTTTGCTTGTATATGTATAACTGCTACAGTTCGCGTTTCGTTTTTACCGTTAATTAGTGGCACTATAGCTGATGAATCCAATCCATTTACCAAGCGTTTTCTAAATGTACGGAAACTGGCTAAGCAGCAGTAATAATTTGTTTCGAATCATCGATTCTTTCGTTGTGAAAACGTCGTGAAACAAACGATGTGCTTAGTTACCTGTAACGCTTTAGTGAGAGTTTCTCATCGTATGGTAAGTTTTTCAGAACTGGACGAGCCTGTGCATGGATCATGGCGGACGTGCCTTCAACGATGTCCCACTAACTCATCCCTTACCACGCTTTTCCCGGCATCTAGATTTCCCCTGTTCACCTTAAAATGTGAGATCTTACTTATCACGTAAATGTCCTCAAAGAAGGGGGAAAAAAAAAACAAACGTGGAGAACGTGGATACACTGAAGAAGACACTCGAGCTGGGAAAAAAGCCAACATGTCGCCAAGCGGCATGAACACAGGTATCGAAGAAGCTATTCAAATGTTATCAGAAGAACGCCAAGAGGAACCAAGTCTTCTTGAGATAAAGAACATTCTTATCGATATTCAGATACAGCTATCCACTATTCTAAAGGAAAACATAGAGCTGCGAAACGAGTTTGAAGAATTGAAATGCTCTCTGAACTCCAACAGAAAGGATCTTAACAGCCTAACAGAATCAGCAAATTTCAATAGAAAAGAAATGGAAAATTTAAAGGGATCTCTTAAGAAGGCCACGGATGCGAATAAAGAACTGAAGAATACTATTTCATCGATGAACAACCGACTGAAAACAATGAATCAAGAGCTAGAGAATCAGCGCGAGGAAACAGAGCGCCTATCGGAAGAGCTTCACAACTTGGAGCAATACTCGGGAAAAATTCCGTGGAAATCCATGGAATACCACAAGATGCCTACACAAACACGGAACAATTTGTTATTAAGCTAGCCGAAGCACTCAACATTACAGTAGAACCCGAGGATATAGAAATATCACATAAAATTAACAAGGGCCAAGCAATCATCGCTAAATTCGTAAATCACAAAGCAAAGGCGAGGCTGTACAAAGAGCGAACGAAACTAAAGGATGTGAGGTTGCATGATCTGTTTCCAGGATACCCTTCTTCTGGTAACCGTAGAATATACTTAAACGAGAACCTAACGCCATATAGAAGAGAGCTGGTTGAAGAAGCTAACAAACGC